CTGAACCAAGTCGTCAGGGTTCTGCCTCAACAAGAAGCAAAAACTGATAAGCTAAAACCAGATGAAGGTTATGATGCTCAGGTTCAAACAAATTTTCATCACCTTCTTTGATGAATCGAGATAGCAAGCCAAAGTAGCCATCTTAGTTGAGAAAACAAAGTTGTCATTGCACAGTGAGAGGTGTTTCAACCAAAGGGCCGATGTCTTCGTGAGTATGACCCACAGGTAAATGTTCATGAGATATAGTTCTCACGAACCCTGCCGTTGACATCATGGAACACCAGCTGCCCATGATCGAGTTCTTCACTTCCTGGAAAAGACAGCTTGCTTTCAAGGTCACTACCCTCCACCATCGACTAAACAAGGCATGTTTAATAAATAAGAAGAACTTGTTGAATTCAAGACTGAGATCTTTGGGCGTGTTGTCTGCAAATATTTTGACAACTCCAGGAACTGGTTTGTTCCACTTCTGATAGACATTGTGGGTGTGTTGCAATGACCGGTTGAGTGTTTCTATGGTCCAGTTTGAACCGGTACTCTGGCCCTCATCAGCGATGTAGGTGAAAATCCCCACGCCGTGTACAATTGATGTCGTAACTTCACAGTTTGGCCGCTTCGTGGTTTCTACATCCTTGGGCGCCCGACCCCTGTGATACCGGGGTAAACTGTATTTACTCCGGTCCATGCTATCGGTGATGATGCATACAAGGTCTCCAGATGTTTTGGCCCTCGACCGACATGTCCAGTAACATTCTCGGTCTGCATATTGCCCAGCAAGGTGCCGTAACAGTTTGTCACACGCTTCCAAATGTTGTTGAATTCCTTTCGCGTGCTGAATCTGTGCTCGAAGCTTTGCACATACACTGCACTTGCTATGTGCAGAGGGTGGGCTAAAGCGCAGTTTTTTCGACCAGCCTGAAGTGGAAAGAGCTCTATAAAACGTGCTGGCTGATGCACACTTCTCACCTGCAGTACTTTGGTGAGCGCAATACAATGTGTACAGTTCATGATATGACCCGTGCGGGAGCCATCGTCTCGGAAGACTTCCTGGCCCAGACCATACGACTCCTCGAGCCAAATCGCTTTCTAGAGCACTGTCCACCAACGCCTTGAGAAGTTCTTCCCTGGCACCCTCTGTGTCCAGTTTTTTCACCCCCTCGATGTTAAGCCTCATGGATCAACCAGATGTAAAGCTTGGAAGAAGCAACATGAACAAACACAAAATATATAGACCAAGTACTCATGGGGCAATGTCTCACCAATGCTCCAGTAAACCTTCTCCAGGAAGGTCAGGACAGACGCAGAAGCATTTGCTTCACAACGGCCCTTAGAGCCTTAGCTACTGGATGTCTTTGGAAAGTCCTACTCCCCAAGATCCCACATATTGAAAAGGAACAACAATGAGAGCAAATCAAGCAACTCCATGCTCTCGCATCGATACCTTTGAAAGTATGTCTGGTACGAACCAAACGGGGAGCACTGATGCCCAAGATCTTGATAAATGCTTGGCGGCAAACTGACCGGCCTGACATATCATTCTAACAAAGGTGTGAACGCAGGCAGGGTGATTCAAAAACGGGCTTTAGAAAACACACTAAACAGAAAACAAACGCAACAGGAGGCCTTCCAATTTCCATGAGATCTTGTGCCGCGCTTGGCCAGACAAACTCTCATCTTCACTGTCAGACATTTGTGGGTGAGTTGTTTGCTGCATTGCCCACAGCAGGTTGTCTTGAGACACCTTTGGCAATGCCCAAAACAATGTGACCATGTTCAAAACGAGTCTGAAACAAAGTCCCTTTTTGCATCCTGCTTTGCAGCATGGCTCTTTGAGAGCTGCCTTTATCCGGCTTGGGTCTTTCCCACTTTGCGCATACACTGAATCCTCTTTAGATCTCGTTCCGTCCTCCATCACTGCCAGCTGGTTGAGAAACAGCCCTGCAGGCTGGCACTTCGTGTCACCAATGGCGTTGGAGCCTGAGTCTGCCGAGTCTGAAGAAGATGAAGACCTTCTCCTTTTCTTTGCAGAGGGGTCTGAGTCAGAATAATATGAAGATCCGGAATCGGAATCAGGAGCTTCGAAGCGTTTCATAGGGTTTTAAAACATCAAGAAGCCACATCGATTTGAGAAAAGAGCTGCATTGTAATATAGAGTTGGACATGTTGCAGGGCACACTAGCACAAAGACATGGATATCAAAAGCACGTCTTGCAGTCTTTGCAAGCTCCCTTTTTAAGTTCACTGTTTGGCTTTGTCCATTGCTGCCTTGTAAAATGCACTCACATCGAGCACACTGAAGGCCACTGCAAAAGCAGCTGCCACGCTCCTGATGTTCATCCCCTCAGTTTTTTGCACGGGCTCTCAGAGAGAGACAAAAACAAACATCCAAGTCTGACACGTTCCCTCCAAGCGAATGAAGTTCCTTGGTCAAACTGACTAATACCAAGTCCAGGAAGGGTTCAGGAAAACAGTGTGCAAACCAAGTTTCCTTTTCTTTCATTTGGCGTAGCTTCAACCGATGAACGGGGTATCCTTGAAAAAGCATTTTCTCCAGGCCTGCGAGGAGAACATGAGTTTGCCACCAGCTAGAAACTAAATCTGGTGGCCGGACCTGTGAGCAAGCGCTTCTTCTCCATATTCCACAGTTGGGCGCCAGGAGTGATACATGGAACATTTTGGCCTTTGACTGTCATTCGATTAATTTGTTGAGAAACACTCAATGTCCCTTTGTGGCCACCCGACTCGTAGACCTCCACAGCCTCAAAAGTCAGTGTAAAACAGTTAATCAGCCTCATTCAAAACAGACTTGTCGCAAAGAAACATGAACTGCCCTTTGTGAACTGAAAGTTCTAGAGGCAGCATCGACTTTGTGAAGGTTCTTGGGATCCACCTCACAGTACATCTATGAGATGCTATAAGTAAAAACGGAAAACTTGCAAGGGCCTCTAGTTCTTGCATTTTTTGCCAATGCTTTTGAAGCCATCGAGGACGTTTGGCTTTGGGCCTCGCCAAGCCAAGAAGTACTGGCAAGTCTAGTCAGGTCTGACCCCAAAAAACTGAGTCAGGTGCTCTTCAGTGAGATCAAACTCACTGTGTTTCCTTGTCTTTTGAACTGTTTGTTCCCGCTGTCTCTGAACATCTTGCACATATGGGCACGATGCTGGCAGCATCAGGTCTGACCTTGCAAAACAAAGTTGGGGTTCCTCAAAAAAAATACTCACAGTCTTTTTGTTTCCTAGGCAGCTGGCACAGAAATGGTTGGTTCCTTTCTTTTCAGCTTTTGGTAAGCTGATGAGCAATGCTTCTCCAGGTCCAAATGATTTTTAATCTTCTTGTCGCATACATCCCTGGCAAGTTGACAAACAACTTCTTTAGATTGAGTGTAAGGGTCAGCGCACCTCCGTATCAAAATGAAATAGATGCGGCGGCGGCAAACGGGGTCTCCTAGATGTTGAGCATCAACTTTGATAGCGCAAATGAGGTACTTTTTTCTTCAGAGGGTCCATCTCTTTCCAGACCTCTGAACACGTCCAAGCATTCCAACATACCTGTTGCAAACACCTACATTTGAGGGCCTCGCCTGTTTCTTTACCCTCAAAATTCCATACACGTTCTCCAGCAATGCAACCAACGGCTCTGTCCTACTGTTTGTGCAAACAAAATCATGCACATTGGGCTCAATCAACAAAGGCTCCTCCTGATTGCTTCCAAGCAATCCCAAAAAACATTGCGCTTCAGGCTCATCCAAGAGCAAGCTATTCTGGCGGAGGCCAGAAAACCTGGGGCGAAAGTCGAAAGTGGGGGTCAGGGTGGTTTAGGCCATGAATTTGTTCAGTTCTGTTTTTGAAAACAAGCTTTTTGAAACAAAGGTGCGGTGTGCAGGGGAACCCCCCTGCATACAACATGGCATCAGACAGTCCATCATATGAGCGGCCAGACATCTCTGTAAATAGCCTTGGAATCAAGGAGCGCCTACAAACAGTGAGGTGAAATACTATATCGGAATGAAAAAGGATTTGGTGGTCCTCTTGATCTGGAACTTATCAACCAAGAAGCTTTCTTGGATTGCAATTTGCCAGGATAAACTTCAGTGGCGCTAAGCCTTTGTCAGTGCTAGCTGTGAGGGTGACCTTGGAAGCTCTTGCAACAAAATAAGCAAGTGTTCAGTTCCAGGGTCCATCCATTGACTGAAGAAAACTCAGCCCCAGCCTTGTTCCCAACAAGTTCTTGAAGCCCCCACAAAGCACCTTCGGCCCCTGAACCTTGCAATGGAAGCACTCTGCATTGTGCTGGGTTCTGTGTTGTTGGTGCTTCACCAAGGGGCAATCACTCATCAAAGTCAACGGAACTGGGAGCATCGATACCACTTTTCCCACTCCTTATGACCAAAAAAATACAGTCACAAACAGACAGTCATAGACAAAAGCCCACTGCAAACCAAAGCGCGCGAAACAACATTGCGGACCATGTCATTGCCCCACCCTTCCAGGTGGCGACGGTGCCGGTCCAAAAGCTGTGCTGGCTTGACATTGAGATGCTCACTTTGCCTGGAGAGTTTAAAAAGATGCACACTTGGCCTGGGGATGTGCACTTGTCCTTAAAGCTGACATCAAAAAACAAAATGCATCTCAGATACAATTCTCGTTTTGCTCTTTGGTAGTTCAAATCCCCTTCAGCAACACTGGATGAAGATTCATCGCTTCCAACATAATCTGATATATCATCATCATATGAAGAGCCATAGCTCGAACTCGAACCATCATAGCTGGAACTAGAGCTGCTCGTCATTGAGCAACCATGGCTGCAAAGGTTTCAGAGTTTAGGTTTGGTTTGGGACAAGTTTCACTTGTCATGGGACACACTTATGAGTGATGTCCTCCAACATGAGTTCCGTTCCAACAGTGCCACGGAAAACTTCGAGGATCTGATACCTTCGAAGCATTCTTCACTAGAATCATTCGTCAAGGGACCAGGTCTTTATAAAGGACCGCAACAGCACCTTGCGATGAGATGCGAGGTCACGTCCGATACGGCGGCAGGACCCGAGCGCCGGAACCCGCGCCGTCCGAACACCGGTCGAGTGAGTGATCGGACGCGGGGGAAGGGTCCCTCGGTCGAAGGTGAGATGTGCAGGTTCTGCGCAGGTGTTGAGATGAGCAAAGGTATCTTCGCAACTACGCCACGGCCCAACACGTCCCTAGAGTGTGAAACGGACCCTGAAATAGCTACGGAAGCGTCGTCTTCAAAGCCATCCACACGACATACTTAAATGGTTTGATCCTGGTCGAGCATTCCTTGGGGATGTTCAGTTTTGCCAAACAGAGTCTTCCATTTTGTTACGAGTACTGTAAGTTCTTTGACATCTTTTGCACAGTTCTGAACTCTGAGTCCAGGGAGCAAAGAGTCCATGTTCTGCCACAATGAGCCAACGCTATCCCCAAAGGGTCCCAAAGGTCTGCGCATGTGTTCCCATGTCTGCCTCTTTCTTCCCCGTCTCGCGGTCGGCACGAAACCCCTGCGAAACCCCGTGTCACGCGGGTCGGTCCCGGTCGAACTGAGGCCGCGCACCCGAGGCGCTGTTGCTCTTGGTCGCCCTGCAAGGCGCTGACCTCAGGACGGATGACGCGTCCCGCCGTGAGGCGAAGGTCCGGGTCTGTCCGGGTCCGTCCGGGTAGTTAGGGTCCGGCGACTGGGACGGGACCGACGCAGGTCCGGTGTTCACCATTCGGATTGGTCGCAAAAAAATAAGAGACATTGACCAGCACCGACTGAAACCAGGTCACCAATTGAAACCTGTTAGGGCCTAACAACCCTCCAAAGGAGACCTGCTGGAAGGTGCTGGCAAGTTGCTTTTAGATAAAGGCAAACGAGCGAGTGAGATGTTCTAACCCAGCACCGAGTCCAAAGCGCGGAAGTCCACCCCATGCCCGGCGGGCGGAAAAACATGAACTTGATCGAAGCATGTGTGGGAGTGAGCCCCTGATTTCTCCCATGAAATCAGCATTTCCTGCATTCGAAGGCCATGCAAGGCCCACTTGACTCTGCCGGATGGGTTTGTCTCTTCAACAGTCTAATAGTATGTTTATGTTTTCGTTTTACAATTTATGCACATAGATCTCCCAAAAATGGTTTAGACTTGTTCATCCCAAACGATGAAAAGTCAAAACGAATCAGACTTGCTCACCCGAAAACACACACACGCACACACATTGCTAGCACTTGTTGCAACAAGCGAAAGGAACGACAGCAAACCCCAAACCATCCCAAACCCAACTTCAAACACTTTGAAGTTGCACCCAAACATCAATTCTCTAGCAAAACGTCAGAGAAGCTGCCTCTGCCTCACCCAACATCACTTTTTGTGACCAAAGTGTCTGGGTCCTCCCCGCTGCATCATCCACGATGCTGGAGGCATAGGAGAGCAAGATGTGGCAAGTGACCAGCATGTCGACCTTAAATGAAGGTGACTCAGTCCATTCCATCAGTGATTTGACCTTATCGCAGGAACTCTTGGGCTCCAAGTCTGATGGCCAGTCCCTGGCGAACCGAGCCTCTCTTCGTGACCTCGGACCTTGCACCACCGAAGTTCTGGTCTTTACCCATGCAAAACAGAGGTGAAATGGGCTCTACAGACTAGTATGTAGTATATAAACCACCACCTGGATTCCCCGATTCTAACACAGATTTGCGGTCTTATTTGCCACATTCTCTCCGGAAAACTGGACCAACACATGGAGCCATGTCACATCCACGTTCATCTCAGAAAACGTCAAACATCGGAAACCTCCGTGATCACCCACGCTATTGTGGCTAGTTGCGGTTGTGTCCACCCTAACATGTTAGGCTCATCGTACCCCAGCTTCATCGATGTCAAGGTCATAGACTACATAGACGCCTAGCTTTCATGGGATTGAAGTCTTTGAAAAAACCATCAAAGGCCTATCTCCAAGTCTCAAAGACCCTTTAGGACGTTAGGACGCTTTTCACATGTCTTCACTTTGCATGTGTTCGCCCTCCCCACGAAAAACCTATGAAATTTGGCTTGTGCGGCTTAAACCGAACGCGCAATGCTTCAAGCGAAGCATTGCAATCCGTCCATCCATCGGTCCATCCATCGGTCCATCCCCTCACAAACTCCCAAGGTCGATGGGGAGAGATCGCCCTCGTGGCAGGTGTGTCTTGGTGGCGAGATCGCCAGTTCAGATCGCCTAGTTCAGATCGACTAGTCTGCATGTAGTTCACATCGGTTCATGCGCATGGGCGATCCATTTTCTGCCAGCTGGGACTCCACCTGCACCCTCCGTCCCGATGTCACGCTCGCGGTTCCGTCGTCGAGCCGCATCCGGATTGCTACTGCGCGATTGAAGCACCGTACCTCCGGTCGCCGCCAGAAGAAGGCCAGGCCGGATCCACCCGGAGGCCCCCGGTGAGACCAGGAGGCTTCGGAGCCATCTGTGTGCGAAAGGGCTGCATCAAACGACAACAAAGACCTGAGTCAGGGCCAAATCCACCACTCTTCGGGGTAACACACGTACGCACAACCAAACTGTTAACACAGTATATATATATATTATATATACCCTAGAAGTCCAAAGACTATATGTTGACCGTCTGAAGTAAAGGAAGTTCCCGAAATCAGATCCCCTAAAAACCATTCTTTTTATAGTCTTTGACTCCCAGGGTATATATCATAATATATATATATATATACACTACGAGTAAGTGGTTCTTGATCAATTCGATGGATTCTTTGACTCCGAACCGTGTGGGTGTTGTTTGGATGGTCGCCATGCACTATATATGTACGTCCGAACGTCTGCCGCCGGCGAATGATCATATTACCAATAAGATGTCCTGGGCAGAAGTGCCCTTGGAAGCAGGATTCCAGATCGGCCAACAAATCACTTGCTTGCTATTTATAGATACTAGAAGTGGGCAACTCAGTCTCTGCAATTGTTTGTCGATTGCCAAATCCGAACCTATACTGCCACTATTCTGAAAGGTGCTAACCTCATTATTCCTGGCCGTAGTAATCAATCCACAAAACTTTGCCGTGGCTACCACCACTCCAAGTACTGCGCGGCCACCCATGCTGGCGCAATACCCACTGGTAACGCTGGTGGCGCACCCATCAACTGGAGGAACTTGATGCCCTGGCCGTAGAATTGAGGAATACGACAAATTCCAACAAACTTTGACAAACTCAAAGCATGCAAAGAACACTGTTCCCTGAAGAAACTTGTAGAAACTGCAGAACCCAAAACTGCAGCAAGCCCTTAAACGAACTGGTGCGTGATATCTTTTTGGGCACAATTCACCTTGAGAGAGCCAGTTGGGTGTTGCAAAGGCTCAAGGGCCTCCTAAAAAGCACAAATAACTTCACATCCGTTGGACATTCTTATTCTTCCACCACAAGCAACACGAGAAAAAATCATGTGGTGGCTGCGGTTTCATCCCCATTTAGGAAGTCCAACCCCCCCGACAGGCATCCAAGAATCAGTCTGACTGAGTGGTTTCAGCAGTTTCCCCACAGCACCGGTCGCAGGGTCTATTGGAGCCACTCCACACAACAGCGAAGACATTTCTCACCAAACATACCAGAAAATATGTTGGCAAGACACATGGTTGAACATGGTCGAACAAAAAAAACAATCAGGGATGTTCACAAGAAGCATAAAACACATGTGGATCAATTGAATTGATGATGAGGAACACAAGAAGCAACTGCGATGACGGATGAACAGGGCATGTCACATGTGTTGAATGCGATGTGTGTGTATTGACATTGCATAAAATAGGGAGAATTCTAAAGACCCCCTGGAAAAAGGACAATAGACCAAAACCCATTGGTTGGGGTGGCACGGCTTGTGGACGTCCGTTTGAACGGTCTTTTTTTCATATGGCACACAATCATATGGCACATCATGAGGCTTTTCGTTCTCTTCACATCCCGCCCGGACGCTGTCGCGCGACTGGGCGCCCCGGACGGCACCACAGTTGAAGGGGCCACACATCCTGCGAAGCGCAGCAACCGGCGCCGGGGGAGCCCAGTACACACGACACAGCACCTACCTCCAGCGAGTGGTTCGTCAAAAAAACTACTGAACCACTCCCGGTGTTCATCCATGTTCATCCCTTACTCCCTTGAGAATCAGGAACCCTCAAGGCTGAAGGTATGCGAAGGTATGTGCTGCGGGTTCAAATATACCAAATCAAAACCCTCTCTGCACAGTAGCATGTTCCAATCACGTTCCAACAAGGATTGAGCCAAATAGGGCCGTTCGTCTTTTTGATAGGTTGTATTTGTGCCAAACCGCAGCGAGACTTGTCAGGCAAAATGTTGTGAGTTGACAGTGGGAGGTTACATCCAAGGAGGTCTGAATGGCATATATGAATGCATATCAAGAACCCCATCAAACCCATTTGCCTGTGTCTATTTGCCTGGAGTTTCAGGGGTCGCGGGGTCGCCATGGTTTGGGTCGCCAGTTGCTTCCTCTTCAAGCACAATTCGGGTTTGTGGAATAAATCATATATATATATACTTATATAGAATTATATTATACGGCACTATATACGGCTACTGAACCTTATACCCACTTTGTTTGGGGTTGACAGGCAAGGAACAATTAATACACACGCCCCTCACCTGACATGTGCTTGGTGAGGTTTATAGCTTTTACTAGGTCGTTGTTTTTGCAGTGTGAATTTCGAGAAAAGTAACCCAATCACTCAATTGCAGTGTGCCCTTTTCGTTCCCATAGAACCACCCCATTCCAAGCGATGGTGCCCGGTCATACCCGCCCAAGCGGACCACCGTTTGAACCCTGACAAAGCGGAGCGAAGCATCCGCGAAGCGTCCTGACCAGGGAAAGCAAGCGAACGACCTGAGCGCAACGTCCTGGTCGATCCCAGGGGCCCCAAATAGGACCAGTACTGAGAGATCAGGGTTGTTCATAGGAACCACGAGAGGTATCCAATGGCCGGGACCGGACTGTAACCTGGGCTACCCAACTGGGATAGTCGAACTTGGTTCTTCAACCTCTGTTGGATGGTTGAGTTTCAGGAGTTTCAGGGTGTTCAGGCTTCTACCCATGTCTCGCAACACAAACTACCTCATCTTGAACTTGGCTGCGCCCCACACATGCACACACGGCCGCATGGCTAAACGTTCCTTTGTCGGAGGGTTGAAAGCGAGACATATATATATATATACATATGGGTGTGGGTCAAAACCGGGCTACCTGGGTTGACCAGAGAAAATGAACAGAATGGACTACTAAGGAGGTCAACCTACCCTGGTTTGGGGATCTGAGTTTTGATCCACAGCCATATATTTGCCAGTTGGGACCCAGCAAGTCCGCTGTTCTTTGGGGAACCAGGGTCCAACCACACTGGCCCATGCGGGTTTGGAATGGTTTGCGAGGGTTCTACAAGTACCATAGAATACCTAACCAAACACTCCATGTATGGAAGATTTGACTAGATTTGGGTGGCTTTAGGAGTGAATGTAGGTCACATACACCAGCACCCTCCTGGCCAGGCTGTGTTGGGACCCTGACAGGTGGTGAACAACTCACTTACCACCTTCGGTGTTTCACCAAACTTGGAGGGTCCAGGTATAACACACGGAGCGTGGCTGGGATGGATTTTCAGGGGCTTGGACCCCAACCACGAGACTTGGACCCAGATGTGTCTTTAGGTTCCTGGCCAGATGTTTGTCCAGGAGAGCGGCCACCTTGTTTCGCGCGCGCGCGTGGCCGTCTCGTTGGTGGGCTCCCAATAGCACCTGACCCTGATGTTGGAGTTGCTGTTCAGGAACCTGGACCAGAACACTAACAACATATGTAGCTATAAAACGTATATATAAACACAACCACAAGCACTCTTTTCACGCGTTGCAGAGAGTGGGTCT